AACTGAGAAGTGCTTTATAGTTTTCAAAGGCGAGAAAGAAGTGATTGACTTGGCTCATTAGGTTAAAAAAAAAGTTGCCACCTTTCCCTTAATTTTGGTTTTACTGGTTTATTTTACTGCTCCTCCTTCCCTCCCCCAAGCTTTAGGGAATGTGGTTGCAATGAAGTGAGCACTGAAGGGCTGTTAGCAGAAACTGAACTAGTGATGGGTTATAGCTTTTTGTGGTCCTCCCTAGAGGACAACTGGCCAAGCCACCATCTGGAGGGTTCTAGACACTTCCTTTCATCTTATTGCTACAGAAGCTTGCAGAAACATCTGACCCCACTGGGAGTTGTATACAAAGAGATTTTTGAAGCCCCCTGGTGTCTTTTCTATCTTACCCATTTAACTCTTGTCTACTAATAAAATTTCTGGAAACATCCAGGTCTTCTAGAAAGAACCCTAATTGTCAGAGCTGAGAGCACATCGGCATTCAACAGACTCAATTCCCTCAAAACTGAGACCTAGAGAAGTCAATCGGGTGGCCCAGGGTCACAGAGTAAGTTAGTGCAGGATCCAGATCCACCGAGAGGTGCTGCTGCCTGGGAGAGCGTTAGGCCAGGGTTAGTGGAACCCAGGGTGCAGTGTGTGCACACACGTATGTTTCATCTGTCTTCACTTCTGCACTGGTTTGTCGGTGTTGAACGCTGAGCCCAAGGCACACCATCAGAGCAGGACAGTCCTCGGAACAGGCTTAACTTTCTTGGCTGGGGAATTTTGGCAGCTAAGGTTCATTCATTGTTCAGATGTAGAAGCTGTGCCACATCTAGAGCCTACAAAAGCAAGGCTGTGGGCATGCCTGGCTTCACCCCCTTTCCAGGGATTGCCTGAGGATAAGACAGACTCCTGTGGAGAAACCATGCACTAAACAGAAAGGCCAGTCCTTTACCTTGAGTATGACCTCTTGTCCCTCCCATTTTCTGGTCTCTGAGTGTTCTCAGATGCTCCCATTGCTTTGTTCTGTGTTACACTGGCTATCATCACCTGCCCCGTGCAGTGTCCGGAGCACAGAGCGGCACTTTCCTGGATGTCAGCCTTGTGCTCTGAGCCCCCAGGCTCCTGCTTTCCACCAGCGTGAGTGAGATCAGACTCGCTACGGAATGTCCCTTATCCTAGAAGAACTTGGCCCTCCCGGTAGGATCTGAGGTCTCCTTCTTGGCTCTGTGACCTGAAGCCTTACAGCTCTGCTTTTCTACCTCATAACTTTTGTGCATCCCCAAATTGTGTTTTCACGTGCTGCCCTTCAGTGTGAGACTCTGACATGTGCAAAGGGACTGCAAGGCCCCATCTTCCTCTCGGCCTTCCCATCGCAGGTGTCAGGAAGAGGATGGATGTTTGCCCTGGGTACTTCTTAGGAGAGCTGTGAGGCCCCAGCAGGATGGGGAGACTTGTGAAGTGGCTGTTAGGAGAGGGGCTGGCGTCTTGGAGATGGCCTGTGCTGGTGTTGCTTCAAAGGGAGCCTCAGACAGAGTGTCTGCAGCTGGGAGCCTGGAGGCAGCTTTGATGTGGGCAGCACCACGGGAAGCAGCCTATGGACACAGAGCAGAGTGCTAGACTGGGTATGAATAGACCCTGAAGTGCAGCTCAGAATCTGCAGGGCAGGGCCAGAACGTGGCTGTGCCTTGAAGCCATATGTGCATTTCATCTCCCCCTGTCCCCCATGGAGTGTATGTCTAGACAGTGATGGAGTAAAAAGCTCAATTACGGAGCAGGAATTTGGCCAGCAGAGGTGTAGCTACCGAGCAGACGGGCCCGGGATGAGGACTGTGGCTGAGAATGAGCTCCACTTGGATCTGAATGGGCTGAAGAGCCAGCTCGTGCAGACAGCTGACACCTGTGGTGGTCAGGGGCCACATGGCCCCCAAAGGCACTTGACATCACGGACAGCCATAAATCTGGCCTGGCCGGCATCTCGGCACCATGTCACTCCCTCACAAGGATTTCCGTCTATAATTAGAAGTCCAGGAGTTCCTGCATTACGGGGATTCAGGTCCAAGGCTGGGGAGCCTATTCTCTTGTTTAGCCAGGTTGTTCACTCTGTGAGAAGTCCCTCTGTCTCTGAGCCTCAGATTACACATCTGTAAAACGGGAAAAATTATGCTCTAAGTGCTTACTTGCCATAAATGTGCTTTGTTGTCTGTCAGGCAAAAGGTTTGTTCCTTTCACATAAATTCAGGGTCTCTAGGATAAAACTCCACTCTCCACCCCACCATGTATATTCCTTAGTTCTGTCTTCCCATTACCTTTTATAATCTATGATAGATATGTCTGAGTGAATAAAAACTCAAGGGGACTCTGATTATTGGTGCCACCTATGGGGCAGGTGCAATGAGAGTAGTGTGTGTGTCCATGTTTCCTCCTCTGTGTTTGAGTGGGGATGGTTCTTGCGGAGACCCTGGGTCCTCAGTTCTCATCATTGGTGTCCACTTTGTCTAAGCCCATGTAGTCATCCCAGTGATGACAGTGGACAAGTCTGCTGTACTAGAACCAGGCTTGTCCATAGTGCTCTGGGCTCATTGTGGTGGCAGGCAGTATTCCTGGAGGCCTGACTCTCCCAGGGTACATGATGAGTAGCATGCAGGCCTCAATCAACTGATCTCGTGGGCTTCTTTCCCCTCTGCCCTCACAGCTTTGCCAAATTGTTCTTTTTCTCAACATTTTCTGGGCTTGAGCTCAGACTTTGGAACAAAGAGCTAGACAGGGTTGTCTTTAGGTCTCTGCCATCTAAGTCCTCCAAGACTTGGAGCTACATCTGGTTCCCTTCCCAGGAGGTATAGTGGGTGGCCTGGAAAGGGTACATGCTAAATGCTGATTAAGTTATCCACAGCAAGACCTACCTCAACCTTCTGATGTAGCCTCCACTTTGTGGCTGAGATATGGACGGGCCCACCAGTCTGAGTCTGAGCTTGACTTCTTGCCTATAACTGTGCTTACTTGTCCTGCCAGTGTGACCTGCCCCAGCAGCTTCTGCCACCATCCTTTGGCTACCCCTTGAGGCCAGTCCTGAAGGCTCAAAGATAGAGCTTCCAGCCAGCCCCAGGCCCATTGTCCTGGATGGGCCTCCCCCAGTGTGGCTGGGTGCACATCACCAGCACGACGCCTGCCCCACCCTGCCATGATTGCTGAGGTCATTCCTGGCAGGGGCTGCTGGCGCAGGCCCAGGGTAAACACGCCACACTGAGCTTGCTGCATAGAGTGTGGGACTGTGAAGGGAATGCCACAGGCTCTGGCCTCAGGTGACCCCAAGCAGAAGAGTCACAGGGTAGAACTGTGTCTCATGAGGTGACATGTAGTGGCCTGTGGCAGCACAGTTGGTGGATCTCTTCTCCTATTGAGTTAGCACAGACCTGAATACTGGAAACAGTAGCCGGTACTTAGCTGATGCTCACTCCAGCCCCAAGTTCAGAACTGTTCAGACCCTAAGTCACCTGGTTCTCACAGTAGGCCAGTGAGATTGGTGGATGACATTACTCCTACTTCTCAGATGAGGCAGCCACAGGTCTGAGTGGTTATAAGTTCAGGCAGGATCTTAGTGTTGGCAGCCTGGCCTAGGCCTATGCTCTTGACTACAGACAGCTTTTTGTGGGGTGGAGCGGTGTCTGTGACCTGAAGGGCTCTTTCCCCTCCTCCTCACATCTTCAGATCAGTTAGGTCTTGCACTCCGTCCTCCACATTCCTTTTTCCTGCCTGAGTTCTTAGCCAGCATCATTCTTAGGGGATGCATATGTGGGGGTGGAATCTTAGTCACGGTGCTATGCACGGGACAAGAGAATCAGGTTGCAGGTCTCAGTCCCAGGGATAAATTCCTTCCTGCTGTGTCCTAAGCCACCTGGTCCCTCAGCTTCTTGTCCTCACCTGTTAAAAGGGCACACTGATCACCCCACTCACCAGTAGGTTTCTATCTGTTTTTGGCAGAGGAGAGGCTGAAGTAGCCACTGGTTTCTACCTGCCCTGTTTCTACCCCATCCAGATCCCTTTAGCACCTTCTTTTTTCAGGATGGACAGACATGAGGACTCCTGAGTTGTTCTTAGCACAAGGCCTGGTACAGCTCTTGGATTTATGGCCTGGTCCACGTTGGACTCAGTAAGCAAAGCTGAAGGAACTTAGGAGGTTCCTGGGCTGTGTGAGAGGAAGGACCTGAAGCCCTCCATAACAGAGTGGGAATGACCTCAAGCCCCTTGGCCCTGTGACTCTGGGGAGAACTCCACTGGGTCTGTCTTATTCTAAAGAATTCTCTGGGGCTCTTGACTGCACAGCCTTCATGGGGTGATGGAGATGGGGCTTCTTGGGCTCATTCCTCAACCCAGGCTGGGAAGCAGAGGTGGTGATGGGGACCTTCTCAGGACGAGAGATAGCTACTGCTCAGGGCCTGGTATCTAGTTCCGGGAGGCTTTGCCTCCTCTGCCCAGCCTGGTGCCTCCCCAGGACTGTCATGTGCTTAGCACAGAGTGCACTGAGTCCCTGCCTGCCGGCCACCCACATCCTCAGGACTGGAGGGGTGTGCATGTAGGAAGTGGATCAGGTTCACTGCTTTCCCGAGGCCCCTTGGGCTCAGGGTTGTTCCCTGGGCCTTTGCTCTCTAAGATTTATCCAGACGGTCCTACTCCAGATCCTCAGTCTATGTTATTTCCTTCAGTCCTCTACCCTGAAGTTTTTAGGGCAAGTCTGTTGTAGCTCCAAGATGTGATTAGATGCCCAAATGGTCTCCTGTCATCTTCCCATTTTCCTTGGCATGCAGCCCCTGCCCCCCACTTCACTGGCTCCATAAGAGCATGTAGTGTATAGATTACAGCAGGGGCTCAGACCCCAGGACAGTGGTGTAAGGCCTGCATTCAGTTCCCCCAGGACCTGAGCTAATGTTTCTGAGTGACGGGTCACTGCTTGCTCTTCCACTGTGTCTCTGCATTTCTCTATCTTGCTAAATTGAATGAATGCAGCAATGCTGTCCTTGTGGTTTCAGGGAAAGCTGCCTGTCCTGCTGCTCGGCCGTTCCTCAGAGCTGCGGCCTGGAGAGTTCGTGGTTGCCATCGGAAGTCCCTTTTCCCTCCAGAACACAGTCACCACGGGGATTGTCAGCACCACCCAGAGAGGTGGCAAAGAGCTTGGGCTCCGGAATTCGGACATGGACTACATCCAGACAGACGCCATCATCAATGTGAGCCACCCACTTGCCCCCACTTCCTGCTACTGGCTAGAGGTTGGGGCAGGTTTATGCCAGAGGATGCTGGACTTAGGAAGCAGGGGTCAAGTCAGGGTTCTCATAGCGTTGTTCAAGGGGTTCTTCTTTGAACTCCTAAAGCCAAGAAGACTGAGGGGTCAGCACCCCATTAGCGATCATTCCTGTGCCTGCAAAGGGCCCTTTGGATTTGCCAAAGGACTGCACAGAGAGGAGCTCCCTGTCCTACTAAGAGGGTCGGCGGCTCCCCTGTCCTGTGGCTCCTATAGCACACTGTGGATGCACGGCGCCTCCCTTTCCTGCAGGACGGACACTCAGTGCAAGGCTATGTAGCCTCGGGGAGGCACAAGCTCTGCCTGACCATAGTCTGAGCATTAGGTCTCCAGCATTCCATGCTGCTCCCTCCTGAGCTGAGGGTCAGGGCTCATAAATGGAATCTCTTGATCATCACATTTTTCTACTTCAGCTCTCTCCCTGGAGGATTGGTATTTCTGAAAAGTGATGGTTTTTCTCTCCCCACACCTGTCTAATAAATAAGAAACCCAGCATGTTTTGTGGACTCGCTGCCTCTTACAGGTTTTATTCCCAAACTTTCTTGCAAAATGTGTGAAATCCTGGAAGTAGAGCAAACCATATGGACTCCAGCCTGGAGCGAGGCAGGGTTTCCACTGAGGGGCTGTACAGGTTTGGACTGTGTGATCCTGGAGTGAGTGAGTGGGCAGCCAGTCTCATCCCAGGAGGAAGAAGTGGGTTGGTTAGGGGCTGTAGAGTGAGTGCAGTGGGCCTCTGGGCTTCAGAGCCAAAAATTTCCTGATTGTGGCACATCTCAGACTTTGTGAAAATCACTAAGGTCCTTTTCTCTGGCAAAATATGAGTTTAACAGTAACAGATCTCAGGAGAGGACCATGCTCCATATGCTAGGCACAGAGCTCAGAAAGCTGCCAGGCAGGGACACAGATTGAGCATGTTATGACACAGGTCTAACCTTTCCAATTCTATTTTAATTTCAGTATGGAAACTCCGGAGGCCCGTTAGTGAATTTGGTAAGGTCTTTTAATACCTATGTCATAACATTTGTTTTTATGTATGCACATACTGCTTTTGTTTTGCTTTCCTTTTAAGCATGAGCTTGCCAAGACATGTTATGTAATTATTCTAAAGTGCTGTGTGGATGTAATGTTCCTTTTCTGGAAGGAGTAAGGCATGGTGAAGTTGTGGGTTGGGAACCTCAGGTCAGAAGACGAGTTTGTGCAGAGCCACAGTGAAGCAGAAAGGGAGGAGTGTCATGCTGAGGGTCTCAGTTGTGCTCCCTGCTGTAGAAGGATACCTCCTGAGCAAGTTTCCAGGGTGATGAAGCAGGGAGGAGCTGGCCTGGCTCCCTTTGTGGTGGGAAGTCACCCGCTCACAAAGATCTAGCTCAGTGTATCCTTAAATACTTCAGCATAAAATCAAAGCCTTCAGGTCACAGACTATCAGAGCTAGTGAGCAGCCTGGGTGTCACCTACAAAGGTTGAAATCGTGATCATTAGCAAGGCCCTGGGTGGCAGTGCCTCTTGCAGGGTGTCTGGGCATAAGGGACTAAAATCTTACCACTGGTGGGAAGTGCATCAGGAGTAATTTATGCTCTCTTGTCAGCTTTTCTTCTCCAGCAGAGGAAAGGAGGAGGTGCAGCTGTGCCCCTAGCTGCCCTCAGCCCTTCCCAGCCCTTACAGCACCCTTGGAGACACACGTTCCTGGCTGTGAAGCCAGCCAAGGCCCAACGGCAGTTTCTCCCAACATCTGCAATTACCTCAAAGTCATTGGAAATGGGAGAGGCAGGAAGGACGGATGGCCACCTTAGCAATTCAGAGATTTTGGAACCATTTTCCATGTGAAAGGAGCAAATATTGTGGATTTTGAAGCTATCTGTGCATGCAATGAGGCAGTGACAGTTCCCACCTGTTGATCAGAAGGATCCCTCGATCCATTCAAGGCTGAGCCTGGCTGATACTGCCCCTGCATCCCGATGCCTCTACCATCACCATCCCGGGACTTCCTCCGCCAGTCCCCTGTCATTCTGACTTACCCCATGGACATGTTTTTTACTGATAATTTTAATTGTACAGATTTATGGGATACAGCATGATACTTGAGTATATGTAGCCAGAATGTAATGATGTCATCAGGATAGCTGACATTCCCTTCTCCTTAAATGTTTTTCAAAGACTTCTTCTATTCAGGTCCTCCACTCTCCCAGCATGCACCTGCCTCTTCTTCATAGTGTCGCAATACCATTTCCGCCTTGCTTTTCAGGATGGTGAGGTGATTGGAATCAATACCCTGAAGGTGACAGCAGGCATCTCCTTTGCCATCCCATCTGATAAGATCAAAAAGTTTCTCACCGAGTCCCACGACCGACAGGCCAAAGGTAAGGAAGGCCAAAGGTAACCTGAGGCAGCCTGGGAACTCCTCAAGTTGGTCCTGAGACTTAGCTGCACCTTGGGGACTCAGGGAAGGGGAAGATGACAGTTTCTACCACCAGCCAAGTCAGCTCCTTTCAAGAATTGAAAGGGAAGGTACATGATAGGCCCCTGGTGTTAGACCACAGACATTTGTCCATTTTTGTCCCATGATCATGGAAGTTTCTCATGGTCTCAATCTAATATGTACCATGCACGAGCATATGTGATTTAGAATGCAGTATTTTACTTTGCTGACTTTCTTTGCCCCTTCAGTAGGAATTACCAGTCCCATTTGAATGGTGAGAAAACAGATTCAGAGCAGTGATTGACCCACCTGCTCTGAGTCAGGCTGGGGGACTGGGTAGGAACTATCTGTTAAGCTGAGATTGAGTGAGAAGGAGCCAGCAAGTGGAGGGTGAGGGGGCGGCAAGCATTGCAGACAGGAACAATGGATTGGACACAGCCAGTGATCACAGAGTCCTCGAGTGGCCCTTGGGCGGCAGTACAGTGGGCACATGCAGTTACACAGGGCAGGTAGGAAGCTGGGCCAGGAGCGAGGTTCACAGCAGGCTGGGTGGTGGGGCCTAGGTTGCATTTTCGCTGCATTGGGAAAGGAAAGTTCACCGTGTGACTGGTGTCTTTGGAGGAAAAGGCAGAAGGAGGGGACTGCTGGAGGGGAGTGGAAGATAGGGGCCAGTTAAGAGGCTCTGCTAGTCATTCACAGGAGAGATGTTGGAACTCTGACCATGGCGGCAACAGTGGACATAGAGCAAAGGGGTCCCATTTCAGTATCTATGGGGGCAGAGCCAGCATGGGGAAGGGCCAGAGGCCAGGCTGAGGCCATGAGGAATGCAGGATCACTCTAGGTTTTTGGCCAGTAGCTGAAATGATGGGACTTTCTGAAGGTCCTCCAGTGGGTGGGGGTCCAGACCAGGACTGAACCACAGCCTCAGTGTGCCCCCTTCTGGTCCTGACTTCACACTACACACTGGGGCATTGGACTCCTGGCTCCCTTGTCCCCATTCCTGCCTACTGAGCTGACCTGTTATCTCTTTGTCACACCAGGGAAAGCCATTACCAAGAAGAAGTATATAGGCATCCGAATGATGTCACTCACATCCAGGTGGGTAAACAGGACTCGAGTCTGCCTGACATTTAAATAAATCTGAATCTTACAAGGCTGTCACTGGTATCTCTGAAGGGAAGTTTTCAGCTGCTTTTGGACAACTCAGTGTTTGCTTAAAATTAACTCACACTGGGGAAGAGGAGGGGCTGTTAGCCTGGGTATCTTTGTTTTTGCCTCTGACCATCTGGAAGTGCCTGCCCTCCTCTTTGTAGGCAGGCCTGGACAGCAGAGGGGCTGGCTCACTCTGCTCACTCCTGCTCTCACTCATGCCTTCCTTTCACCACTTGTTCTGTTGAAACCCACATTCCAGGAGTGCCCCAGTGCCGCCCCAGCCTGGAGCACCTGCCTCCCATTCGCCCTGAGCTATGAGCTGTGGCTGCAGGAATGCTGGGGCAGGTCCCTCTGCGGACCACAGATGATGGATGGGCTTGTTTTCCCTAGCGCTGGATGTTGCTGCCTGTGGTTGCCAGGCTCATGACACACTGGAACATGGCCTGGTTTGAAAACCAATGAGGGTTGGGGGGAGTGAGCTCACAGTCCCAGGAACTGACTTATCTGTTGAATCTGTTGTAGGTCCAGTAGCTAAAGAGGAGGATATAGCAACAGATACATTGCTAAATTATTATAATTTTTAGTAATTGTCAAAACATTGAGCCATTTGATACTTATTATGGATGATGATACCTTTCTTAGCATCCCAGAAGATGGGGTGATTTGCCAAGACTAAAATCACATCCATTGTTTGTCTTTGGAACAGGGAGAGATGGAAGTGTAGGGAATGAGCGGAGCCTGTGGGGACAGCTCCGATGCTTCCCAGATGGCTTATGATCTTACAGTGTCCAGTGGTTCCCCTCCAGGCTGAGGACAGCAGTGGCATTTGTACTCTGCAGCCAGACGTGGGTTGGGGGTTAGGGAGAAGCAATGAACCCCAATCATACTGGCTGTCACATGCTTACTGTGTGCCAGGCACTGGGTGGGAACCTTACACAGATGACCTCATTGATCCTTCTAACAATCCACTTTGTAGAACACTCTTACTAACCCCATTTTTCAGGAAAGGAAGGTACAGGGAGGCTGAGCAACTGCTCAAAGTAACACAGCTAGCAAATGGCAGAGCTGGGGCTGCAAACCAGGCCAGCCATTACAGGCCAGTATTGTTCCTTTGGTGGTAGCTGCTATTAAGTAATTAACAAATTAGTAATAGTAATAATGATTAGAGTACTTCCCTGCTATTGTGAAATAAACCTTTGATTCCAGTAGACAGGCAGTTCTCAAGTAGAATCAGAACTTGTGGAGGAATTTTATACTAGATTTGGGGAGAAGTGAGTTGGTGGTTGCTGAGTGTGGTCAGAGGAAGCTTGTGGTGCTTAATATTAACAGAAGGGCTTTTCTCTTGAGCAGCAAAGCCAAAGAGCTGAAGGACCGCCACCGAGACTTCCCAGATGTCCTTTCAGGAGCGTATATCATTGAAGTAATTCCTGACACCCCAGCAGAAGTGTGAGTGACAAGTGCTTTTCCGTCTCCTGATATTCATTTTGATCCTAGGGCAGTGAGTGGAGGACAGAGCGGTGGTTATTTTTCAGATAGAGTCTCATATTTGTTCCTGAGGTTGCCCTCATACCACAATCCTCCTACCTGTGCCTCCTGTGCAACTGGGATTTTAAGCATGAGTTACTGTGCCTCAATTATTTGTTGAAATGGAGGTCTCACTAGCTTTTTGCCTGGGCTGACCTTAAACCATGACCCACCCCCTATCCCTACCACTGGAATAGCTGGGGTTGTAGGCATGACCTACTGTATCTGGCCCAGTGTACTTTTTATACTGGCTCAGAGGATCATGTGTTTGGATATCTCTGGTCACTTCCTGTGAGCCAGATCTTCCCACCAGTTGGACCCAGGGCTGATACATAGAAGGACATTTCCTGTCTTTAAAAATCCTGCTTTAAGCCTCTCCTACACTTTAGAGATGTGTTACAGCATTACCACCTTTCTCAGTTCCAGTTTTGTCTTAGTCTTTTGTGGCAGCTATACTAAACTTCCGTAGACTGGTTGACTTACAAGCAATAAACATTTGTTGTTCACACACACACACACACACACACACACACACACACACACACACACACACAAAAGTACTGCTTCACTCAGGGTGATGCAGAAGGGAAGAGCAATAGCAGGCTCGTCAGGAGGCCAGACTGGGAAGAGAGGTTTATGGATCAGTGTCCCCAACACCTCAGGACCCATCTCTCGCTAGAGCCTTCTCTATGTCTGTGACCAGTTAGGCCACATCTGTCAACACTTTTAGAAAAACAACCTGAGTGACATCAGAAAAGCATGAAAGAAGTAGCTCAGCCAGCAATCAGGGCTTGTTACCTGTGTTGACATATATCCAGAGGCAAGGGTTGGATAAAGGATTGCAAGCGAGACCCTGGGGACTGGACCTGGCCGGCCGCCTACTTTTGTACGATCCATGGCTGAGAATAATTTTGGCATTTTTACATAGCTAAAAAAAATTCCAAAATAATGAAGTAGTATGAAATGAAAATTTCAGCATTTACACGTGTTTTATTGGAACTCAGCCACGTCCCTTCCGTTACAGAGTGTCTGTGGCAGTTTTTTTGTTGCTGGGACACAGTTGAGTAGCTAGAACAGAGAACAAGTACTCCACAAGGCCTAAAGTATTTCCTGTTTAGCCTTTTATGGAAAAATCCTGCAACTGCAGGTGTTAGACCATGAAGATTCATGACCGCATATTGACATTGTCACACAAAAGAGCTAAAGTTACAGCCACAGCAACATAAAGGAAGTATCTCCTAAAAGAAGTGCCCTACCCACTCACAGAGGAATTGACGTCTGAGTCACAATTCCTACTGCAAGCAAGTTGGCTGCAGTCACAGTATTAGCCATTGTGCTTGGTATATCCTCGTCCCCTTTGTGGTCAGTCTGCCATAAGGTTATAAGTGCCATAGCACTTGAGGATTTGACCTAACAATCTGAAAAGGAGCCAGCAATGGATGGCTTCAGTCACCCTTTCCTGAGTTCACCGTCCTCCCCGACCCCATTTGCTTTAGGCTTTTTCATTCTAAACTGTGCCTCTCTCAATAAGCAGGAAGAACGGAGATGTTACCAGTGTATTTCCCTTTGTGTTGCAGTGGTGGTCTCAAGGAAAATGACGTCATAATCAGCATCAACGGACAGTCGGTGGTCTCCGCCAATGATGTTAGCGACGTCATCAAAAAGGAAAATATCCTGAACATGGTTGTCCGCAGGGGCAATGAAGATATTATGATTACAGTGATTCCAGAAGAAGTCGACCCATAGGCAAAGGCAGGAGCTGGACTTCATGTTTCCCTCAAAGCCTCTCCAGTGGATGACTCACAAGGACTCTGGGCCAGTGGGACACGGAGGACTTTTGACCGCCATTCTTCTTGTTTGGTGGAAATGCCCTGGCCTACAGAATCCTTCTTGATAGTTTGCAGGCAAAACAAATGTTAGTGTTGCAGGTGTGCAAGCAGAAGCTCGCCCTCTGTAGCCTATGTATGCAGCGTGCTTTTTCTTGCCAGCTTGGGCTGTTCCTGCTTAGACAGTCAACATTTGTCTCTTCCTTTAACAGAGTTGTCATCTTAGCCCAACTAATGTGGTTGACACAATGCATAGATAAGAGGAAGGCCCCTGGGAACCAGAATGGTCCTGAGTCTGTTGACACTTTCCTCTGAGTCAGCACCCAGATGAGGTCTACGCACGGAGACCATGGGTGGGGAACGCTGGCTTCCAAGATGGCCAAAGTTGCCTCTTTTAGGAATCTCTTCCGAACTGGGAGCACGATGACTTTGAATTTGAGCTATTAAAGTACTTCTTCATACTTGGCTTTCTGGCATGCTTCATTTGAATGTTAACATCTTTTTTAAATGATCATGATGTCAATAGGCTCCTTATTAAACCATATTGTGTGTGCATTATTTCAAAATCACCCATGGGATTTGCCACGGTTAGACAGTCACTCATGCTTGGCCACCCTGACTTTATGAATAGGGCTCAAGGACAGTTCTCCTTGCATCTGTAGCTTTTCAAACTATGAAGAGTCTGTTGACCCCCCCCCCCATATATCATGCAGTCAGTCAACAAAGATTTTTCTGGGCCTCTGCTGTGTGCCAGGCACTGGGCCAAGTGTGGAGGGCAGCCAGAGCAGGACAGACACAGACCTTCTCTCCCTCAAGCTTCTGCTGGAAACCAGGTCTCCTTCTAAAAGGCCAATGAGGAGATTGGGATGCAGCCCCAGGACTGGCCCAGTCTAAGTCCCCAGAATGCACAAGGTTGCAGCTGATCTCATTTGTCTGGGGTGTGAAATAAGAGCGAGGTCTCAAGCTGTACAGAGTTTAGAGTAGAGTTCTTTCAACCTGTCTTCCAACAGGGGCAACAGGTGCAGCCTTCCACAGCTGAGAGCGCCTCTCTCTCCAGGAAAGCTTTCCAAGAGTTTGGGAAGCTGGACCCAAAAAGGCTGTTGCAAAACTTTGGCTTGGAAGTGTACATGGGCCTATGTCCCTGTGTGCACACAGGCCAGAGGGGAGGCTGTTGATGCCAAGAGCCAGGGGGTCAAAGGCTGTGGAGAGTCCTCAGCAGTGGGAAGCGGGGCCTTGCACTGGAGGGGGTCTCACTGTCCAGACTGATGTCTTAATCCTTCCTCCACCAACAGATCCATAAGGTCTGTTTTGTAGCTGGAAAGACTGTGGAAGGCCAAAGGCCCAAGTTAAATACTAGTGCAATGCTGTCCGGCAAAGCCTACATCAGTATCGGTGCCAAGCAGCTGTGGCCTGCTGTAGCCCAGGCCAGCTCTGTGCTCTGTTTGGATGACGTTGAAGAGTCAGAAAGGAGCCAACAAGTCCTTTGGCTCTTGGCATTATTTTGCATTCCCTCCCTCTCCCTTAAAGATAATAACTAGAGGGCTGGGGCATAGCTTAAGTAGTACAGCACTTGCCTAGCAAGCTCTAGGCCCTGACAAACCCCAGGACTGAAAAAGAAAAGAAAAAGATAATGACTCAAATGGCCTGTGGCTTTCAGATTCATCCTCAGATGTGTTGCATGTGTCCCTGGCCCTCTGAGGGGTCCCTGAGTTGAGCTATGGCCACAGGTGTGCAAGAAAGTACTGGGCCAGGTCAGAGCCAGCTCTGGCCTGAGCCCATCTGTCTTCAGCCTATTGTTATCTGGGAGATCACAGCTGATTCTGCTTGAAGCAGCCTGGGGACTCTGGCTGAGTCATCTGAACACTTAGCCACATTTCCCTTGGGGTCCACAGGACTCGGGGAGATTGGAGTCCTGCCTGTAGTCACAGGCAGCGAAAAGGGCAGCTCAGCACATCACTGGTACTTAAATTTGGTTGCATGGTTACACTGACCTGGGGACACTGAGTTCTGTGGCAGCTGCTTGTCCTGGAACCCCTCACTTGCTCTTTTTTTTTTTGTTTTTTTCATTTTTCTTTTATTATTCATATGTGCATACAAGGCTTGGTTCATTTCTCCCCCCTGCCCCCACCCCCTCCCTTACCACCCACTCCGCCCCCTCCCTCTCCCCCACCTCAATACCCAGCAGAAACTATTTTGCCCTTATTTCTAATTTTGTTGTAGAGAGAGTATAAGCAATAACAGGAAGGAACAAGGGGTTTTGCTGGTTGAGATAAGGATAGCTATACAGGGCATTGACTCACATTGATTTCCTGTGCGTGGGTGTTACCTTCTAGGTTAATTCTTTTTGATCTAACCTTTTCTCTAGTTCCTGGCCCCCTTTTCCTATTGGCCTCAGTTGCTTTAAGGTATCTGCTTTAGTTTCTCTGCGTTAAGGGCAACAAATGCTAGCTAGTTTTTTAGGTGTCTTACCTATCCTCACCCCTCCCTTGTGTGCTCTCGCTTTTATCATGTGCTCAAAGTCCAATCCCCTTGTTGTGTTTGCCCTTGATCTAATGTCCACATATGAGGGAGAACATACGATTTTTGGTCTTTTGGGCCAGGCTAACCTCACTCAGAATGATGTTCTCCAATTCCATCCATTTACCAGCAAATGATAACATTTCGTTCTTCTTCATGGCTGCGTAAAATTCCATTGTGTATAGATACCACATTTTCTTAATCCATTCGTCAGTGCTGGGGCATCTTGGCTGTTTCCATAACTTGAAGTCCGTCATGGGACCTCTCAGGACCATTGTTTCTTCTGTTTGCCTTAGGCTATGATGGAGAATTTTGCAACATAAAGTAATCTTAAAACCAGAAGGCACTGCACTTGGCTTTTGGAGCCAAATGAACTTGTGTTTCAATACAGTATCTGGCTTTGTGACCACTTTGAGCAAGTGGTCAGATATTCTGTGCTACTTTCTCATCTATTAAACAAGGATGACAATAGTACCTACTTCCTGCATCTTATGGTGTCCGTTTTAATTAGTGTCTGAGCTTTATTTCCCCCATGTAAAATGAGGAAGAATAATAATTCCCTGGGGCTGGTGTGGGATGTGAGCTTGAGATAAACACAGGTACCCTCGTTTTTATTATTGGATTGCTGTGGTTCTGGTCTTCAGCGACAGTCACAGTGGCTTACAACTGTTGGGTGCTTTCTGTATGTTAGACGCCATGTTGAGCATTTAACACTTGGAGGGTTGTTTAATTCTCAGAGCAGTTCTGAGGTGGAAGCCATATTTACCCCCTTTCATCAGGTAAAGGAATTGACCTCAGAAATCAGGTACCTGCAGCCATACAGCTAGTGAGAGCCTTGGCTTGCACCCAGGAGCTCTGTGCCATGGCCTCTGATGGTGCCACTGGCCCATTGTCACTTTCTTAAAACCACAACTCCTGGTACCAAGTAAACCCTGAAACCACCTCACCCCTGCCTCTCCACATCTATGAAAGTAACCATGGGGTCAAAGACTCTTAGCTTCTGCTCAGTTTTGGTTCCTCCTGGCCTTTCCAGACCCCTCTAGTGTCCCTTTCCCAGCCTCCTGGCTGATGACCAGCAGCTACCCCTTTTTTGTCTCCTGAGGAGTCCCCTTCTGACTGCCAAGGGTGTGCTCACCAATGCCTCTTCTAATCTCAGCTCCTTTCACTCCAGTCCTCTGCTACCAGCTTTTGCCAAATTGTAAGGGACACTGACCACCATGGAGAAGCAAGTGTTTTTATTGGAACTTGTCTAGCCTGTGTCCCTACCTGGTTAACCCAGTAGGCAGGCAGTCTTGGATGATAGCGTTTTGTTGGCCTGTAAGGGTGCTGGCCCCATTTTGGCAAATACCACGGCCAAGCCTTGCTGCAGTGTGACAGAGGACTTGGGTCTAGTGAACAGACCCTCTAGATTCAAGGTTACATGGAAGCTTCCTTCCCCCTGAAAGTGGCTATCAGTAAGGCTAGAACTCTGACGACCCCATGATGAATTTTTCTGCTGTCTGCCCTGCCAACTCTGACCATCGTAGGAGCTGCCTGGAGCACTGGGCTGAGTGCTGTAATCTCAGAATGAGGGAGAACTGATGTCCAGTCCCACTCTCAGCCACTCTACCTTGGCAATGTTCTGGGTATGGCCAAAGCCTGGCCTCCCTGATGCTGGAATCAGCTCAGGATAAATTGGTTTGTTGCCCTCTACCCGAGAGAACCAGCTCTTCCCTGTTTGCAGACACCTGTTACCTTTCTGAGCATTCTCTATCTGTGCATCCCATTGCTGTTGAAGATGGGCAGCTGTTGGTGTTGACAAACATTCTTGGGGTTCCTGCCAGGCTCAGCAGGCCCCTAACATGGTCAAAAGAGGGACAGGAAAAGTGAGCTTCATGTCTGCGGGCCCATAGAGGGAAGACTCAGTAATGTTAGTAAGAGGAACACAGGACAAAGGCAGCAAATACTGTTCCAAAATGAACAAGAATGCAGCACCTGGAGGCTGGCAGCAAAGCTACAGCCAGGAAGTGTGTGCTGAGCCTGGTACAGGCGTTTCCCACACATCTCTCATTTAGCCCTCAGTAACTCCAGGGAAGAGGAGCTACTATCACTCAGTATCACAGATGAGGATGTAAGACTCAGAGACATGAAGTAACTTGCCCAAGTTCATCCAGCTTGTCCCCAGCAGAGGTGGAATGAGTCCTCGTGGGAAAGTATGCAGGTAGGGAGCAGTGAGGGGACAGTGGGGTCCCATTCCTTTCTGAGATAGAGTCAGGAGGACACAGCTGAGCCCTGTTTAGTCTATAGGCTCTGAGGAGCAAGTCTGAATATGTTCTTGGGACCCATGAGGCTCTTCTTGATTTTGTCCTGACCTTCCTTCCTGTACCCTGAGTGCTGCCTAGGGGACTTAACCTGAATTTCCATCCCACCCTTATTTTGTTTATTTTCGAGGACAGGATGCTTGAAGTCCAGAAGCCCCTTTTCAAATGGGTTATCCACAACTGGTTGGACCTAAGATGCCAGAGTGACTGCCAGATAACCTCTAACTTCATTATAATCCATCTGCTTGTTAAATGGCACACCTCCAGTCCCTGGACAGCTGACAGTTGTCATAGTGATGACTGGAAAGAACCATAAAAGGATCAAAAATAAGTGGTTCTCAAATTCCCAAGAAATCCCCTTCCATTCCCAGAAAAGACAAATACTCCTCCCCTTCACTGGCCGCCCCCTCCTCCTCTTACTCTGTATCCTTTCTCTTACTCTGTATCTATAGCCTCCCAACCCGAAGAAGTTGATATGTAAGTTTATTTCTTATTTCTCCTGTTCACGGTCAAGAATAAAAGTCTCTTTTACTGCTCAATTGATGTTCCTTATTGCTATTGGTTCCACAGTTCTAAGAAGGAAAAGGGACCCAGTTTAAGGACAAAAGCTGATCATGTTCCATGTCACCACTCTAATTAT